CACACTCCTTGTTACCTTTGTTCTTGGCTGAATCAGCTGCCCTCACTAGCTAGTAAGTTTATATAAAAATGGAGAGGAGCTAGATTCAAGCTGAACTGCTTAGGAAATCATTCCTGTAGATTTATCTATATTATTCCTAAAGGTATTCCATAAGATTTTTGGATATTGGAATTGAAATTGAGGATTTAGTTGAGAATTTCTTTAATTTTTGACCTTAGGTTGTACTTTCTTTATAAATTCCTTTCTTTTTTTAATGTACATCTTGCTTGTCTGCTCAAGTATTTTGTGTTGTCTAATAATTTCCAATCAGAATCCTTTGTAAAAATATTGACACTGTTTTCTTAATATTTAACTACTGTTAGAGCCTTTTGTCACATGTATGTCATTGTAATGATTTCTCTTTCATTATAAAGTGTGCATGTGAACCCACTTAATCAATTAGTGTTTTTTCCTTTGCTTTCTACATTGGTAACAGTGTTCAATTACAGCAAAAAAAAATCTTAAGATACAGCATACCATACAATTTGCACATTTAAATTGTACATTTAGTATATTCATGGAATTGAGCGACAGACATCTTAGTCATTTCAGAGTGTTTTCATCACTTCAAAAGAAACTCCATACCTTTCAAATTCCTCCATCCTTTCCCAGCCTCTATCCCTTCAGTAAATCATTGGTAATCTACTTTCTGTCTCCATTTTGCCTATTCTGGACATATGTAAATGAGTCTTATGTGGTCTTTTGTGACCGGCTTCTTTCACCTAGCTTAAAGTTTTGAAAGTTCATGGGTGCAGTCAGGTATCAGTACAGTGTTGTAGCATGTATAGTACTTCATTCCTTTTCATGGCCAAATACTCCATTGGTTGGAGCTATATACATATATATATACACACACACCACAAGTTTGTTTTTTGCAGTCATGTGTTTTATGTCCTGAGAATGGGATTTCTTGGTAACTTTTTTTAAACTTCAAGATTAAGTTATCTTTATTTATTTTATTTTTATTTTTTAATTTTGATGTCATTAATGTACAGTTACTTGAACGTTATAGTTACTTGACTCCCCCTATTGTCAAGTCGCCCCCACATACCCCATTACAGTCACTGTCCATCAGCATAGTAAGATAGTATAGAATCATTACTTGTCTTCGCTGGATATACTGCCCTTCCCGTGTTCCCCCCCGCCTCTCCCCTGCTACATTGTGTGTGCTAATCATAATGCCCCATTTTCCTCCTTTTCCCTCCCTTCCCACCCACCCTCCCCAGTCCCTTTCCTTTTGGTAATTGTTAGTCCATTCTTGGGTTCTGTGAGTCTGCTGCTCTTTTGTTTCTTTAGTTTTTGCTTTGTTCTTATACTCCACAGATAAGTGAGATCATTTGATACTTGTCTTTCTCCGCCTGGCTTATTTCACTAAGCATAATACCCTCTAGCTGTATCCATGTTGTTGCAAATGGTAGGATTTGTTTTCTTATGGCTGAAAAATATTCCATTGTGTGTATGTATCACATCTTCTTTATCCATTCATCTACTGATGGAGACTTAGGTTGCTTCCATTTCTTGGCTATTGTAAATAGTGCTGCGATAAACATAAGGGTGCATCTGTCTTTTTCAAACTGCGCTCCTGCATTCTTAGGGTAAATTCCTAGAAGTGGAATTCCTGGGTCAAATGGTATTTCTATTTTGAGTTTTTTGAGGAACCTCCATACTGCTTTCCACAATGGTTGAACTAGTTTACATTCCCACCAGGAGGGTTCCCGTTTCTCCACTACCTCGCCAACATTTGTTGTTGTCTTTTGGATGTTGGCCATCCTAACTGGTATGAGGTGATATCTCATTGTGGTTTTAATTTACATTTCTCTGATGATAAGCGATGTGGAGTATGTTTTCACGTGCCTGTTGGCCATCTGAATTTCTTCTTTGGATAAGTGTGTTTAACTCCACTGCCCATTTTTTAATTGGCTTATTTACTGATACAAGTACTTCAACTCCTGCTTTTTTCTCCCTGTTAGTTGCATGAAATATCTTTTTCCATCCCTTTACTTTCAGTCTGTGTATGTCTTTGGGTTTGAAGTGAGTCTCTTATAGGCATTATATAGATAGGTCTTGTATTTTAATCCATTCAGTGGCTCTGTGTCTTTGATTGATGCATTCAGACCATTTACATTTAGGGTGATTATCAATAGGTATGTACTTATTGCCATTGCAGGCTTTAGATTCATGGTTACAAAAGATTCAAGGGTAATTCCCTTACTATCTAACAGTCTAATTTAACTCACTTTGTGTCCTATTACAAACACAACTGAAAGGTTCTCTCTTTTTTTTTCTTTTTCCTCCTTTTTCTTTCTCATCCATTCTTTGAATGTTTTGAATCATATTCTGTACTCTTTGTCTATCCCTTGGGTGACATCTATTTAGCCTTAGGAACACTTCCATCTATAGGAGTCCCTCCAAAATGCACTGTACAGGTGGTTTGTGGGAGGTAAAATCTGAAAATTGTTTAATCCATCCTACAAATTTAAATGATAACCTTGCCAGGTATAGTATTCTTGGTTCAAGGCCCTTCTGCTTCATTGCATTAAATATATCTTGCCACTTCCTTCTGCCATGTAAGATTTCTGTTGAGAAGTCTGATGATAGCCTGAGGGGTTTTCCTTTGTATGTGATCTTTTTTCTCTCTCTAGCTGATTTTAAAAGTCTGTCTTTATCCTTGATCTTTGCCATTCTAATTATTATATGACTTGATATTGTCTTCCTTGGGTCCCTTGTGTTGGGAGATCTGTGTACCTCCATGGTCTGAGAGACTATCTCCCTCCTCAGATTGGAGTTTTCAGCAATTACCTCCTCAGTGACACTTTCTATCCCTTTTTCTGTCTCTTCTTCTGGTACCCCTATGATACAAATATTGTTCCATTTGGATTCATCACACAATTCTCTCAATATTCTTTCATTCTTAGAGATTCTCTTTTCTCCTTGTGCCTCAGCTTCTTTGTATTCCTCTTCTTTAATTTCTATTCCATTTACCGTCTCTACTACTACATCTAACCTGCTTTTAAATCCCTCCATTGTGTGTTTCTTTTCAGATACGAAATTTCTTAATGATTGAATCTCTGACTTAAATTCATTCCTGAGTTCTTGAATATTTTTCTGTACCTCCATAAGCATGTTTATGATTTTTATTTTGAACTCTCTTTCAGGCAGATTGGTGAGTTCAGTTTCACTTGGCCCCTTTTCTAGGGTTTGTGAGATTTTTGTCTGAACCATGTTCTTTTGATGTTTCATATTTCTGTGTGTTGCCCACTAGTGCCCAGAAGCTCCAGTCTCTGGAGCTGCTCAGCCCCTAGAGTGAGGTTGGGGGTCACAGGGGAGCAGAGTTGGAGCCTGGGGTGAGGAAAGATCTGTTTCCTGATTCCTGTCTGTGGTGCCTGTCTCCGGTGTCAGAGCCAGTGGGCTAAGCATACAGGTGTAACCCTCTGTGCTTTGCGTCTCTAGCTGTTGTAGGTAGAGCCTCTCTGGCTGGCTTGATGCCAGCACAGTGACTGTAGGTTTGTGAACCAGTGCTGGCAGGCTAGGAGGACGGTGTAGCAGGCTGCTTGTCACAGTGGGGGGCCCTTAGAGCTGAGTTGGCAGCCAGGGGAATGGGGCGCACCTGAAGCTCATCAAAGTTCCTAACCAGCTGGGCAGAGCGCACCCACACAACCTTGTCCAGCTCTCCCCTCCCCTGCGCAGCAAACTCCATGCAAACCCTGCTTCTTCAGCAGCCCTTGCGCTGCTAGGAAGCCTCTCAGACTGCCTGCCTTTCCCTTCTTTCAGAGTGACCAGGTGTGGATCCCCTCCTCCACAAATGGCCACAATCTGTCTCTCACACACTCCACCTGTGTGCGCTCCCCAATGTCCAGAGCACCACACAATGTAGGTTTCTGCTCCCAAAGCAGATCTCCAGGGCTGGATGTTCCGCAGTCCCAGGCTTCTACCCTCTCTCCCGCTCTGTTTCTCTTCCTCCCACCCGTGAGCTGGCATGGGGGAAGCGCTTGGGTCCCACCTGATTAAGGCTTTCCTACATTACCTTATTTCATGAGGTCTGCTCTGTTCGTGAGGTCTGTGTGCAGTCTGGTTCAGACTTCTTTCTTGTTGTTTTAGGGTTAGTTGTATAAATTAAGTACATTTTCATAATATCTGTGGTTTTGGGAGGAATTCTCCATCTCACCTTTCACATTGCCATCTTGAATCGGATCCTTTGCCCATTTTTTTGAATGGTTGTTTTGTTGAGTTGTAGAAGTTGTTCATTTTTCTTGATATTCCTCCTTATATGTATGATGTGCATATATTCTTTGGGTTTCCCTTTTGTTCTGTTGACAGTGTCTTTTGATACACAGATCTAACATGTATTCTTTTCTTTTCCTGCCTGTGCCTCTGATATCATATCCAAGAAATCGTTACCAAATTGAATGTCATGAAGCTTTTGCTGTATTTTCTTCTAAGAGTTGTATAGTTTTAGGTCTTGTGTTTAGGTCTTTATTTAATCCACAGTTTAGAATACTAAGGAAACTTGAGAGTTGCTAAATAAAACTCCTTGCTTGCTGCCACTTTGGCTATTGGTCTAAGTTCTATTGTTAAAAATGATGTATAATAGTACTTCAGCTTACACAGTAGTATCCCCCTCTGGTTCTCATTTCATTTTTATACTAGAGGCTTACAATGTTATAGTATTTGCATCAATTTTAAAAGACCAGAATATTTTAAATGTAACCTGCCTATGTTAAGCTGCTACATATCACAAATATTATGCAAGCAAAATTAAACATTTTTACATCCTTTGAAATCAACAATGTGTAAGTGATTATGTCACTAGGGATCAACAGATTAGGTCCACTGAATGGGACTACTGGTGTTGCTAGAAACTGAAGGATTGTTTGAGTCCATTAGTATAGAATGAAGTTAGTAGAATTTTAATTGTGTAGGATGTAAGTATTATTTTACAGTACTTTTTTTCTTTTTTGAAGGATTTGGACGTGGCAGAGGGAGAGGGGCAGGAAGATTCTCAACCCAAAGCATGGGGTAAGTCTTAGTGATTCTATTTTTGTAGTTAGTACCTTTTAAATTGTTACTTTAATGTTTTCCTTCCTCCATCCTGTACCCAATTTATTTATCTTGGTACATTAAATGTTTTTTATACTTCAACAGAGAAATAATGGAAATTAAATATTACAAATAAAATTGTATTGCATTAGGTCTTAGAACAAGATTTCTAGCTCTAGCTCTGTTGACAGTTTGGGCTGGGTAATAGTTTGTTGAGGAGGGGGTGTCTCGAACACTGTATGGTGTTTAGCAGCAACATCCCTGGTCTTTCCCTACTAGGTGCCAGTAGCATCCCTCCTCTAGTTGTGACAATCAAAAATGTCTCCAGACATTGCCGTGTTTCCCCTGGGAGGGATATGCACAATCTCCCCTCGTTGCATATCACTGCATAAAAGTTGGATTGGTAAATCCGACAATTGTCTTTGAATGGTTAGTAAATGTGACGTTTGTTTGTATAAAAGTGATAGTTTTTTTACTGAACTGAAATAGTGAAGGGTGAGCATACTATTACTAAGTAGGTGGTATAATCAGCTATTTATTTAGTTTTTCTGGTTGTTCTTTCACTTTTTGCTGCATCTAAAGTATTAGCTCCCTTCGGATATTTAGAAAAAGTTCTTAAGCTTCCTATAGAAACTTTATGTAGATGACAGTAAAGAAAGGAAAGGAATTGTTTCTGGGAGAAGCCCTTTGTCTCTGTATAGGTCCAGGGACAGCACTGTTGGAGCTTACTACCTTGGTACCTCCTGCCACCTCAGTTTTCTTCTTGAGCTCTCTCTGGACAAAGGAAGGTCAACAACATGGGGAGCAAACTGGCTGGAACACTTAAATGTACAGGCCTAGCCTAGTAGCTTTAAACTATGTTGTGTCTTTTGCTGTTTATGTTAAAGAATATTATTTTGTTATTTTTGTTGTAATGGTATCTCAGTAAAGCTGAAAAATTCTGTTGTGAAAATTTTACAGGTGGTATTTAATTTGGTACTAGTTAGAATTTGAATCATGGGTGTTAAGGATTTTAATGAAGAAAAGTCCTAAACAAATCATTTTATTTTGATCTATATTCATTGTTTCTATACAGAAAGGATCATAAATATTCTGTTAAAAGGTTTAAAATCAAACTTGGATTCTGACTTGCAAAGGGAAGACTTATTTGCATGTTTAAGTCTGGACTTTGTTTTTAGAGGAGCTTTACATTAGAGATTTTATTCTGCCTAGAATGATTATAGGTTTCTACACCTGCACACCTGCTTTAGGATGCAGAGGACAGCAATTTAGGGGAATTGGGGCATCATATGACACTGTATGGAAGGTCCCTAGACAACCTCTGCTTTTTTAGAAGATATTCATTCTGATGGCTAGGAGAATTAGTTATGATTAAATAGAGAAGGAGGGAGAAGTTTCTTATAGTAGCTTCTAGAGGGGACAGAGCTTGTTTTGGGGAATATATGATAAACAGTTAAATTTTATGACTTTAATGATTGCTTCATTTGTCTTAATTCTTTTTTAAAAAAATCAATTAAAATTAGCATAAAATACCCTATTAGTTTCAGGTGTACATAGCGATTTGGTATTTTTATATACTACAAAATGATCTCCATGATAAGTCAGTACCATTTCTCACCATACAAAGTTATTACGGTATTATTGGCTGTATTCCCTATACTGTACATTACATACCCATGGCTTATTTATAATTGGAAGTTGTACCTTTTAATTCTTTATTTCACACCCAAGGACGTTTAATCCTGCGGACTATTCAGACTCTCTGTCGATAGATGGGTGTGAGACAAAACCAGTAGTTTGGGAAGCTGCTCAGAATGGTGCAGATGAGGGAACTGGTAAGTGTCTACTCTCATCTGAGATGTGTTTTACATGTTTGAATTCTCAACATACAAAGGTGAAATGAGAGTGTGCTGTTGGAAAAGAATGAAAAATGGGCTGCTGTCCTTACCTCTGAGCCTACTAGCTGGTTCTTATTTCCAAAGTCTTACATGTAAATCTAACTGACTTTAAGGTATTTGATTTTTTTCGTTTCTGCACTCTAAGAAAGAGGCTATAATCAATCTTGTAAGTCAGTACAAATCTGCACTGAGCGATCTCAGTGTATCAGAGATATGTAGAATTGCTTAGGGGAAGACTTGTTACTGAAAGCTCTTACATTCCTAATGTGGACAGAAGTGTGGGCAGGTTAAATGGTAGGTGATAGATGGATTTGGAGAAACAATTGCTTTTGTAGATTTTTCTGTAACCCATGTTTTTGGATTATTTCTTTTCTGAAAATCATGGATAATCTTAGAGCTCTTCTGAGAATTTGTTAATATATATTAACTATTGTGATTATATTTATAAAACATAATTTGATACTTCTTGAATTATAATGCAAAATACAGATGTATAGCTTGAATTATCTAAAAGCAAACATCCATATAATATCAACCCTGCCCAAAATAAAAGACACTGCTACCATTACAGAACAATTTACTGCTGTAAATCAAAGCTGCTGTAGAGTATCAACAAAAGTTATAGAAATGGTAATTTGCAGAGAGTAGTAAAAGTGATAAACTTATAATGAGACTAATTGAAGAAAGGGGAAGAAGCATTGATTAATTGGTTGAGAGAATGAGAAAAGGAATATTAATATTAACTATAATGATTATAATTACCTATTATAATTAGTATTACAGATATTAAAAGATCATGAGAAGATATTTTATGTCAGTGATTTTTGTCCTAACATTTGAAATTACAGATTAATCTCACTCTTCAAAAAATGTAAAAATTTTAAACCAAAATATTGAAAATAATTCATTAAGATAGAAAAAGAATGATGCATTATGGTGATGTTAAATTTATACTTGGTATTCAAGTTTGTTTACCATTTAAAACTCCTTTAACTCCCCAGTATGTATTCAGGAGAATGGCAGACATAGATTAACCTAAAAGCACATACACAAATGTCCATAGAAGCATAATTCATAATAACCAAAAAATGGAAATGAACCAAATGTCCTTCAGGGGATAAATGGATGAATAAAATGTGGTATATCATCCATGCAGTGGAATATTCATTCTACCATAAAAAGGAATGAAGAATTACCAAAGCAATCCTGAGAAGGAAGAATAAAGTTGGGGGGATCTCGCTCCCCAACTTCAAGCTCTACTACAAAGCCACAGTAATCAAGACAATTTGGTACTGTCACAAGAACAGAGCCACAGACCAGTGGAACAGAATAGAGACTCCAGACATTAACCCAAACATATATGGTCAATTAATATATGATAAAGGAGCCATGGACATACAATGGGAAAATGACACCCTCTTCAACAGTTGGTGTTGGCAAAACTGGACAGCTACATGAAAGAGAATGAAACTGGATCACTGTCTAACCCCATACAGAAAAGTAAATTTGAAATGGATCAAAGACCTGAATGTAAGTCATGAAACCATAAAACTCTTGGAATACAACATAGGCAAAAATCTCTTGGACATAAACATGAGGGACTTCTTCATGAACATATCTTCCCAGGCAAGGGAAACAAAAGCAAAAATGAACAAGTGGGACTATTTCAAGCTGAAAAGCTTCTGTACGGCAAAGGACACCATCAATAGAACCAAAAGGCATCCTACAGTATGGGAGAATATATTCATAAATGACAGATCCAATAAAGGGTTGATATCCAAAATATAAGAGCTAATGCACCTCAACAAACAAAAAGCAAAGAATCCAATTAAAAAATGGGCAGCGATGCTGAACAGACAGTTCTCCAAAGAAGAAATTCAGATGGCCAACAGACACATGAAAAGATGCTCCACATCGCTTGTCATAAGAGAAATGCAAATTAAAACCACAATGAGATATCACCTCACACCAGTTAGGATAGCCAGCATCAAAAAGACTAAGAACAACAAATGCTGGCAAGGATGCAGTGAAAGGGGAACCCTCCTACACTGCTGGTGGGAATGTAAACGAGTTCAACCATTGTGGAAAGCAGTATGGAGGTACCTTAAAAAACTCAAAATAGAAACACCATTTGACCCAGGAATTTCATTTAGAGGAATTTACCCTAAGAATACAGCAGCCCAGTTTGAAAAAGACATATGCACCCCTATGTTTGTCACAGCACTATTTACAATAGCCAAGAAATGAAAGCAACCTAAGTGTCCATCAGTAGATGAATGGATAAAGAAGAAGTGGTACATATACACAATGGAATATTATTCAGCCATAAGAAGAAAACAAATCCTACCATTTGCAACAACATGGATGGAGCTAGAGGGTATTATGCTCAGTGAAATATACCAGGCGGAGAAAGACAGGTACCTAATGATTTCACTCATCTGTGGAGTATAAGAACAAAGAAAATACTGAAGGAACAAAACAGCAGCAGACTCAGAACTCAAGAATGGAATAACAGTTACCAAAGGGAAAGGGACTGGGGAGGATCGGTGGAAAGGGAGGGATAAGGGCAAGGAAAAAGAAAGGGGGCATGTATAATGTGGAGTGAGGCACGGGGAGGGCTCTGCAACACAAGACAAGTAGTGATTCTACAGCATCTTACTATGCTGATGGACAGTGACTGTTATTTGGGTTTGTGGGGGCAGACTTGGTGAAGGGGGGAGTCTAGTAAACATAATGTTCCTCATGTAATTATAGATTAATGATACCAAAAAGAAAAAAAGGAATGACGTATTAATACATACTGCAGCATGGATGAACCTTGAAAACATACAGAGTGAAGAGAAGTCTGCCATACAGGGCCACATATTGTGTATGATTTTATTTATATGAAATGTCCAGATGAGTCAAATACATAGAAACAGAAGTAGATTGGTGGTTGATGAAGGCTGGAAATGTTTGTAGGAAAATGGAGAGTGACTGCGAATGGGTTCAAGGTTTCTTTCTGGAGTGATGAAGGAGGGAGCCAAGATGGCAGCATGAATAGAGCAGTGGAAATCTCCCAAAACCATATATATTTTTGAAAATACAACAAATACAACTATCCCTAAAAGACAGACCAGATGATACAGGACAACAGCCAGGCTACATCTACACCTGTGAGAACCCAGCGCCTCATGAAGGGGGTAACATAGAAACTGCAGCCCGGCAGTACCCCAGCGCGCCTCACCCCAGCTCCTGGCTGGAAGAGAGGAGTCGGAGTCGTGAGGGAGAGGGAGCCCAGGACTGCTAAATACCCAGCTCTAGCCATCTGCACTGGGAGCGCAGACACAGTGCGGTGTTGAATACTAGGGAAACAGGACAGTAAAACCTGCAAGTGGGTCCCCGCAGCCGGTGTCCCTTCGACATAAAAAAGCGAGTGCTTTTTGAAAGACTTAAAGGGACAGGGATCCCACAGCTGGATGGAAGCGTCCCGAGGCACTTAGCCTAGCAGCTGGGAGCCCCAGGGAACTCTGGTCACCTTAGCCCCCTGGGCGGCAGTGCAGCTCGGAGGCACCTCACGGAAATAAACAGGCTCTGCTTGTTTTCCCTCCGACGCCACCCTGCCATAGTGAAGCAGCAGCCTGAAGCTGCCATGCCCACAGGAGGAGGGCAGAGCTTCTTTCACAGCAGTAGGGCAAGAATTAGAAACACCGTCTGCGTGCAGCTTCCCAGCACAAGCCGTTAGGGGTCGCTGTTCTCCCAGGAGAGGAAGGCTACAAACCAGCAAGAAGGGACATTCTCCCAGCCAACATATGCACCAGCTCCCCACAACTATCTCTATCACCATAAAAAGGCAGAAGAATTTGATACAGACCAGACTAACCCAGATATCCTCCCCTGAGAAGGAATCTGGGGCGATAGACCTAACCAATCTCCCTGAAAAAGAATTCAAAATAAAGGTCAAATCCATGCTAATGGAGCTGCAGAGAAATATGCAAGAGCTAAGGGATGAAGTCCAGAAGGATATTTCAGAAATGAAACAATCTCTGGAAGGATTTATAAGCAGAATGGATAAGATGCAAAAGGCCATTGATGGAATAGAAACTACAGAAAAGGAATACATAGAAGCTGACGCAGAGAGAGATAAAAGGATCTCCAGGAATGAAACAATACTCAGAGAACTGTGTGACCAATCCAAAAGGAACAATATCCGCATTATAGGAGTACCAGAAGAAGAAGAGAGAGAAAAAGGGATAGAAAGTGTATTTGGAGAAATAATTGCTGAAAACTTCCCCAAACTGGGGGAGGAAATAATCTTTCAGACCACGGAAGTACACAGAACTCCCAACAGAAGAGACCCAAGGAGGACAACACGAAGACACATAATAATTAAAATGGCAAAGATCAAGGACAAGGACAGAGTTTTAAAGGCAGCTAGAGAGAGGAAAAAGGTCACCTACAAAGGAAAAACTATCAGGCTACCATCAGACAGAAACCTTACAGGCCATAAGAGGATGGCATGATATATTTAATGCAATGAACCACAAGAGCCTTGAACCAAGAATACTATATCCAGCACAATTATCATTTAAATATGCAGGAGGGATTAAAAACAATTTCCAGACAAGCAAAAGTTGAGGGAATTTGCCTCCCACAAACCACCTCTACAGGGTATTTTAGAGGGACTGCTCTAGATGGGAGCACTCCTAAGGCTAAACAGAAGTCACCAGAGAAAATAAAATCACTACAAAGAAAGTACACCAAGCAAATACTAACTAAAGGCAAAAAATAAAATCAACAACCCACAAAAGCAGTCAAAGGAAACACAAAAGAGCACAGAATCAAACACCCAACATATAAAGAATGTAGGAGGAGGAATAAGAAGGGAGAGAAATAAAGAACCACCAGACAGTGTCTATAATAGCTCAATAAGCGAGTTAAGTTAGACAGTAAGATACTAAAAAAGCTAACCTTGAACCTTTGGTAGCCATGAATGTAAAGCATGCAATGGCAATAAGTACATATCTTTCAATAATCACCCTAAATGTAAATGGACTGAATGCACCAATCAAAAGACAGAGTAATACAATGGATAAAAAAGCAAGACCCATCTGTATGCTGCTTACAAGAGACCCACCTCAAACCCAAAGACATGCACAGACTAAAATTCAAGGGATGGAAAAAGATATTCCATGCAAACAACAGGGAGGAAAACCCAGGTGTTGCAGTACTAGCATCAGACAAAATAGTCTTCAAAACAAAGAAAGTAACAAGAGATAAAGGATATTACATCATGATAAAGGGCTCAGTCCAACACAAGGATATAACCATTATAAATATATATACACCCAACACAGGAGCACCAGCATATGTGAAACAAATACTAACAGAACTAAAGGAAGAAATAGAATGCAATGCACTCATTTTAGGAGACTTCAACACACCACTCACACTAAAGGATAGATCCACCAGACAGAAAATAAGTAAGGACACAGAGGCACTGAACAACACACTAGAACAGATAGATGGTACTAATAGACATCTAGAGAACTCTACATCCAAAAGCAACAGGATACACATTCTTCTCAATTGCACATGGAACATTCTCCAGAATAGACCACATACTAGGCCATAAAAAGAGCCTCAATAATTCAAAAAGATTGAAATCCTACCAACCAATTTTTCAGATCACAAAGGTATAAAACTAGAAATAAATTGTACAAAGAAAACAAAAAGGTTCACAAACACATGGAGGCTTAACAACATGCTCCTAAATAATCAATGGATCAACGACCAAATTAAAATAGAGATCAAGCAATACATGGAAACAAATGACAAGAACAACACAAAGTCCCAACTTCTGTGGGACACAGCAAAAGCAGTCTTAAGAGGAAAGTATATAGCAATCCAGGCATATTTAAAGAAGAAAGAACAATCCCAAATGAATAGTCTAAAGTCACAATTATCGAAATTGGAAAAAGAAGAATAAATGAGGCCTAAAGTCAGCAGAAGGAGAGATATAATAAAGATCTTTCCGGAGTGATGAAAATGTTCTATAATAGTCATGATTATTGTACAACTTGTGACTGTACTAAAACTTATGCAATTCTCTGCTTGTAAAGAGTGGATTTTATGTTATGGTGAATTAAGTCTCAAAACAAAAATGAATAATATTCAGTCCTTTAACAGAATAAAGGAGAAAATTCAGTCATATCATTTCAATAAGGAAAAGCATTTCACTAAATGCAATATCCATTCCTGTTTTTGTTTTGTTTTAAACTGACAAATCTGAAATACATCGAAATTTCTTTAACCAGATAAAATATCTACAAAACTCAGAGTAAACACTAGTTAATGATGTGTTGAATGTGTTTTCTCAAATAAAATCTGGGGGCTTACTCTCACTATTTCTATTCACCATTGTATCAGAGGGCTTACCCATTGCAATAAGGAATTAAAAAGAGAAGTTGGAAGGGATGGAAGGAAGGAAAAACCTGTTATTTTCTGGCAGTGATAGAAAAGAATCTGTAGATAAATCACTAAAGGAGCTTTTCAAAGGTGCTAGGTGCTCAATAAACAAGTGTATTTCTATAAACCATCAGCAGAAGAGAAATTGGAAAAAAATTACCTTCAAAAAACATCAAATGCCTAGGAGGAAGTCTAATAATATGCAAAATGATAAGACTTCTATCTATGAAATTATAAAATAAAATCTTATGATATAAAATTGAGAGGTTCAAGAAAAAGTAATAAATGGAAGGTTATACCATTTTTATATATTTCAAATCTCACTATTGTGAAGCTTAGTTTTTATTGACTATTTGGATTAATTACACCATGGTAGTCTACCACATGAGAATTTTCCCCACTGATGTTTTAAAAAGTCAGGTTTATTGAAACATATTTTCATATACAATTTTGACCTTTTAAGGTTACAAGTGAGTTCTAACAAATTCTTGTAATTGTGTTACCACCACTAATATCAAGATACTATATCTATACTAGCAATGAACAATTGCAAATTGGAATAAAATAGGGGGAAAAACTCTTCTACCCTTTATAGTAGTACAGGAACATGAAATACTTAGGTATGAATCTCAAAAAATAAATGTAAGATTGTGTTGAAAATTATGCAACATGAGAAATATAAAATGGAGGAGATACTCAGTGGTTATGAATTGGAAGACTTAGTGTTATTGAAAAGTCATTTCTCCCCAAATTGATGTATAAGTACAGTGTAAGTTCAGTCAAAATTGTAGGAGATTTTTATATAAGTTGAATTGGAAAACCTAAGAAGTAGCATTGTACAGTTTTGGAAAAGAACAATAAGGGTCTAAGACATTCCTTGACTTCAAGAAGTTACTCTAAAGCTACAGTAATCAAGACTCTGGAACTGAGAAAAGCATAGACATAGATCATTTCTGTAATAGCAGATCTACAAGTAAACCCACAGGCTCTAATTAGTTTTGGACAACAGTTCCAAGGCAGTTCACTGGCATACATAATACTGTATATTATTTTTTTAAAACCTGCAGGGGGATAATAGCTCTAAATGTGAAATCCGACAGCACAACTTCTAAGGAAAATAGTGGCAAATTTTAGCTACTTTGGGGTAGGCAAAGATTTCTTATGTAGGATTCAGTAGGCATGAAGCACGAGTCATAATCAAAAGAGAATAAAGAAAATGAACAAGGCATACTTCAGAAGGAAGTATTTATAAAACCCCCTATTTGTAAAGGGACTTGTGTGCAGAATATATGAAAAACCCTCACAACTTAATAAGAAAATAACCCAATAAAACAAATGAGCGAATTAAAAGTGGACAAAAAAAATGAGAAAATTGTGAAAGTGAATAGTGGTGATTATTGTACAACATTGTGAATGTACTTACTGTCAATGAATCCACACTTAAAAAGGGTTAACATGGTAAATTGTAAAGTGTATTTTACCTCAATAGAAAGATTGGCTATTATAATTACGTGAGATGTGATCACTGGGGGGAATGGAGGAAAGATAAGTTGTGAAACTGTATTTCAAAATAAAGTGATTAAATGAGCAAAAGGTGAACATATGCTTCACAAAGGAAGCTGTATGGATAGCAAGCACACAGAAATATGCTCATCATCATTGGTTATTGGGGAAATACAAATTAAAACCATAGTAGTTTACCACCATCCATTAAAACGGCATTAAAAGAAAACTGACAGTAACAAATGTTAGTGAAGGTGGCAGAATAACTCAACCTGTGCATTTATCATATAACAATACAACCCCAGCTCTCGGTTTTTGTTGAGAGGACTGAAAACACATCCACACAAAAATGTCATGTGATGTTTATAGCAGCTTTATTCATAACCTCCACTGGTTTTTAAATCGTGTTGAAACAGAATGTTGAATTAGTTAACTGACAGCTATTTTTCTTTTTTTCCCATTTCTCCCTCCTCTCCTTGTAACTTCTCATGTGTCTTTCCCTTCCTTTCCCTTGTTCTCATTTAGAGTAGGAAATTCCTTGCTGAAAAACATAAAGCAATATGTGTTTGATGCAGTATACAGTTAAAGGACGTTGGCAGCAATGGGTTGTTGGCTGTTTCTTTAGAAGCCTCATAGAATGGGAATCTTTTGTGTAACACACACAGATTTCAGGTCAGCCCCTCAGCCTGATAGGCTCAGAACCTGACTTTTGACGGGATTATGATCAAATCCATTCCTTAGAGGAGGGTCCATATTAATCAAAATAGAAAAACTGAAGGATAGCCAGGATACCAGTTTGCTATTATGTATTTATTAATGCTAATTTATAAATTTACTGAAAACATACCTGTTAAGCAGATTGGAATGCTCTCTGACAAGTGGGAAGGGGGTTTGGTGAAAAGGGGGAATGAGAAGAGAACAAGGATAGTTGATGCAAATTGAGGGTTCAAAGGCCACCTGGCTAGTAAGGTTCATAGTTGAGTCAGTTGTGTGTCACAGTATGGATTGCATGCAGTTAAGTTTGCCTCTCCTTGGACACACAGCATATACTGAGCTTTGATGCTTTCCTTTCTTCAGTTTGATAGCCATTTTTTCTTCTTATGAATACCTTGTTTTGATATGTTAAAATACTCCATTTTACATTGATCTGCAGAATTGGTATCAGATGCTCAAAATGTAGTTCAGGATCTGCCAAACAAAAATTCTTATGGACTCAAAGGTATGAATGTTTTATTTTAAAATTTTCCTATTAAGAATCTTATTTTAAAATCCTTGTAATAGCTTCCATTTTTATTAAGGCTAGCTAGTAAAAATTCATCAAATGAAGGTTTGTAAGCTCTCTTTTTACAACTACTCGATAAAATAATTATCAGGTTTTGATTATGGAAAGTGTTTTACAGATTGGCCTTAAAGGTGACACAGATTTTTGCATCACAGTTTTCCTTTTTTCTACATGGCTGCCTTCTATGTGTTTTAGATAGAGGGCTAACATCAAGTTAATTGAACATAAAGCATATATCTCAAATTTATTATTTTAAGCTGAAAATAATTCACTGAAGTTTTCCCATATGTTTGAGGTATATCTTATAGGTCTATAAGGAGGATCAAGGTCTTACTGTAAAGTTTTAATATTCCAAAATAGCATTAGGACCTGATCTGTATTCTTTATCTAATATTTGGTAGTTTTTATAGTCTGTCTCTAGGATGGGTTACTGCAATAACTTGGCCTTGGCTTCTGACATAGGGCTTTCCCCTCTGTTGCCTGACATAACTATTTACCATGTTGCACTTCTGCTTACAACAATGTACATTTTTTTCTGCCTGTGTTTAAATGTACTCAGATTCTCACTCTATTCTGCATGTCTAAGTTTGTGTTTTAATTATTTCAACAATACTGAGTGGTAGGCCAATCTCTTCACCTATCGTTTGTATGAAAGGGTGTTTTAACATCACTGAATTGTACACTTAAAAATGATACAGTAGTAAATTTTATGCTATGAGTATTTTGCCACAACTTAAAAGTTTTTGGGGAAAAAATGTTTTCAACTGTAGAACACTGGACATTTTATGTATAGGTTTTGATAATGCCTCATCATTCCTACTCCTCCCACCCCATGGGATTTCCCTTCTTTATATATCAGTCTTTTCAGATAATTTCCAACCTTTAAGGGTTTTGCTGTGTGTGCTTCATCTTCCCTATAAATGTCTCTTACCATTTTAAGCTTTCATTAACTTCTTTGTCCTCCAAATTTACAATGTGTTAATCAGCTTCATGTTTCATTCAATAATATAGTTACAACATGTGATCACTCAACATTTTTTATTGTCATTTCAATGAGCTATGACTTTGGTATGTTAAGCATGATTGGCTTAACCCACTATTGACTAGTTAATGGTTAGTGATGAACAACAGTTCTTAATGAAAATTCCCCCGTAAATTATTCTCTGTTGTCTTAGTTGTCTTGAAGATTAAAGTTTTAGGAATGGGATTTTTGAGGTTCTGGAATTGTTTTCTATTTCTTCATTAGAGTGTTCCTAAAACTGCTGAAATTGAGTTTCAGCTTTTTGTAGAATTGTCAATCCTTAAATTAGAAAATTATCTCATGATAAAATTGATAGCATAAACATAACATTAAGTTGGTTGGAAGTGGCACCAAAAAGGTGGCCATCTCTGTAACTAGTCTAGTTGTGAGCTTTTAAAACTACATTTACTTAGAAATCTGGAAGGAAGTATATTAAAAGATTAGAGATTATGTATTGGAACCTAGAAGAAAGTCACATTATAGAAGAAAGTTAAGAGTGAAAGGTCAGTGATGGCTTGCCTTAAATCCATTTAGCTTTGTGTACAGTGTGTTCTATAAGAGGCCTGTGCAGGGTTCTAGAGAACAAGGTCCCAGTACTGATTTCCAGCTACGTCTAGTAGTACCTTGTGTTACTTCACTTGAAGTATTACTTCTTGCTACTTTTGTTTAAGAACGTATCTTAGATGTTTTTGGGGGATACATAAATTCATACTTGTTTTATGACATTTCTAGAGAAATTACGGAAACCATTTAAGAGTGATCTCCAGTATACAAGATCAGATTGTCACTTTCAAATATTGAAGTCTTCTCTACCAAGCTTTATTATTTCAAGGATACAGAGGCATAGAAGGGCAGGAAATGCCTCTACTCATGTTTTTCCTTCCTATAAAGTCTGTGCTCTCTGATGCACAGCAATAAATGAGGGCTTAAGTGATGTGTGTAGTTTTCTCAGTTGGTAGGCACTGTCCTCAGGTTTGAAACGTCTCCCTTTTATACCCATATGGTAGTATATCTTAGGTGATATTTTATAAGAATTTTTTATTTTATATCTTCTATAAACCCATAGGTTTTTATGTTTGTTTGCCTTAACCAATCCTAAATTAGGGACATCCTACTGAAAGCATTCCACATAGGAGGACTCTTTTCCTGTAACACTATGAGTTTATTTATGAGATGGTTGATTATTAGGGTATTGGAATGATTCCAAGAAGGTTAGATGTGGTCACTTGCCTTTTTTTCTTAGGAGTGTGCCCCTCTTGCCTTTCACCTCCCCACATACAAACTTCATTGTACGTCTGTGCTAACCCATTTTTTCCTTCCTATTGAAGGAATTGAAAGCATTCACAATCTTCCTGGGGGTGGTTATAATTAATGTCTTGGTGTATTTCCTTTTAAAACCATTTTCTTTGGGTACATGATTTCATGTGTGCTTTAACATAACAGGCCTGTCCTTATATAGGTTCACTAAGTACTAAAGTCAGCATGTTTGAACAAACGTGCTTTTCTTTAAAGAATTAATTGTTGTATAGGTGACTGTTCTGTAAAGTACTGTTTGAGTAGGTTCTCTGTGCCTGTCATTGGGAGGTATAGCATTGGACTTTACATGAGCAGGACTAATGGTGCAACTTTGCTGGAGCCCTGTTAGGGAACCATGCAGTGGACCTAATCACTAATAAAAAGGATGCTTTCTCAATTTGATAATTCAGTACTATACCTGAAATGAGGGCCCAAGATAGATCTGCCTTATATTGAATTTTGTTCTGTATTAAATTTTATATATCATAAAGATCTCATTGTTAAATGTGTGTATTCTGTGTTCATTTTCTTACTTGTGGCAGAATTGCTTGGATATGACCTACATTGAAGCAAAATCAGTTTGAGACATGAGTTTAGGTATTATCTAGCCAAGTTATACTTGAAAACACAATGTTGTTGTCTTAGTTGTCTTTTATTGAGAACAGATTAACAGCCTTATATTTCTTGGATTGTAAACTAAGTTGCTAGTGAGATATGGTATATCTTATTCAGTACACAATAGAGAATCATTTGGAGTAAGACGGTATTTGATGTTATGGTATAAACTGTAATTATTGTTAGCAGAGGCCTGGAAGAATTCTGTGGAAGAGTGGACAACAGAAGACTGGACTGAAGATGTAAGTATTTAGCATCAGATCAGACCTTTCTTTATTTTGGGTCCTGGAGGTAGAGGCATTGGTACTTTGAGGATCCCCAGAGACATTTTTAAGCTATTCATGTCTACTTTTCATACATGTGTGATTACCATGTTTTGGGTTTTTTTAGCAGACTCTTCTCAAAAGGCAGTTGGTGTTTTGAAATTTAAGAAACTTGATTTTAAAGTGTCTACTTAAAAAATTACCCAACTGTTAAGCAGGACTCTAATCATTTTTAGTTTATCTTTGTTTTGTTTGACCTGATAACCAACAGATGCTATGCCCTTGCCTGTTAACTATTATTCTTTCTAACATTTTTATTAAAGGAGACAGTCTGTGTTTTGGGTCATAGTTTACATTAATCTGAATAAGTCATTTTGGTGCCTAATTCTTGGCCCCTTTCAACTAGACTGGCTCTTTTATATTCATTTGTTCCACAGACGTTTTGAGTATACTACCCTATAGCTTCTGGGGAGTGTTCAGCTGTAACTGCTGGGTTCAGAATAAGATGATTCTTTGATGAAAAATGCTTAATTGGGGAAAGGAAAAGTAACTGAATGAGCCCTTTACCATATTTTATACTGCTTTTCTGTTTGGCTCTCAAGGTCCAGAACAGAAATATATACGTGATAGAGAGTTACAGCAGACATTGGAAGGAGAGAATAAAGGGGTTATAAATACTGACCTTCAGAAATCACATAAAGTGACCCAGACTTTGATATTTCTTTTTTGAGATTTTTTTCCCCCTTTCGTTTTGTATTTACAAGTTTATTTTTAAAGAAACAAACTGCACTTAATGCTTCCTTTCTTTTTTAGCAGTATTGTATCTGCCTTAAGGAGCGTACCGGGTAGATGTGAGGAAGAATAGATATGCTCTTTTGATTAGAATTTAGATATAGGATATATTTTCACTTCTTTCACATACTGACTGTTAAGTCCTTGCAGCATGTTGTCACCAGGCTGGCTCCCAGTTACCTGTAAGATGAGGAGTCCGGATTACATGGGGGTTATTTGAATCAGTGAAAGGGTGGGTACCCGTGTTACAGACGTCAGAGCAGCCTGTGAGCTGCTTGTTCTTCCTTGTGCACAGATGCCCTACTTTGTTGTTGTTGTTTTTATTATTATTTGTTTACTCACTACAATCCATATTCTCACAACTTCAGGGCAGAGACCATATATACTCAAACCCTAGCACAGTGCCTGGCACATAGAAGGCATTCAGTAAATATTAGTTTTAGGAAATGAACTCATCATACATAATCTTTTGTTTTGTTCACATTAGGAACTAAAAGCATGCAGTTCCCCTTTAGCATAAATAAGTATTGGGTTAATGATAGAATGAGCTGAAAATAAATTGAATGAGAGACTGCTGTTATTGCACAGTTGCCCTACTTTTAAGTGTTACATGTAACTAGAATTTTTGCTTAGAGTTTGGTGGGAGAAAAAAATGTTTCCAGGGCTAAAAGCTTTTCATCTCCTTACCTGTTGTCTCAGGAGGCAGAAGGCGTGAATTCCGTTCTGGCTGTGTTGACATTGGACAAAGCATCTTTCCTTTCTGAACCTATTTTTTATCTGTATGGTGAATATAATAACTGTCCTGCCCAAATCATTTTGTTCTGTGAGTCAGATGAGGACTTAAAATGAAACTCAGCTAACAAGGAGTTAAACGTAACTCATACAGACATAACATTCTGTATAGATCATACTGTAGCACAATATAATAATTACTGAAAAGAATTAGCATAGGGAATTCAGGTGTCTTTTCTCAGGAATTTTCAAAAAGATTTAAAAGTTTTCTGTGATGTTACAAAGTAATGACGATTGAAAGGTGAGTAATCTTAAATGCAAATCTTAAATTCCTTCTAGAGAGAACTATAGCTATTCACCTTTACTCACCCCTCATTTAAGAGAAAAGTGGAAACAGTTGAATTTTCTGTATTCTATCAGGGTTATGTAGGCTGTTACTGATTAATGTAGTTCTCATTTATCTTTAACTTACTAATACTTGCAAGGCTTTAGTCTATTTCATTTTTTTATAAAGGTATCATTTATATAAAATACTATAAAGTTTCACATAAGCAACATTGTGATTACTACATTCACCCATATTATGAAGTACCCCACACACACCCCATTTCGCTCACTGTCCATCAGCATAATAAAATGCTAGTCACTACTTGTCTTCTCTGTGCTACACTACCTTCCCCAAGATGCCNCACACACACACCATGTGTACTGATCATAATACCACTCAATCTCCTCCCTCCCTCCCTTTCCAACCACTGCCCCCGAACACACCCCTTTGATAACTGCTAGTCCATTCCTGGAGTCTGTGAGTCTGCTGCTGTTTGTTTCTTCAGTTTCGATTCATTGTTATACTCCACAAATGAGGGAAATCGTTTGCTACTGATCTTTCTCCACCTGGTTTATTTCACCGAGATAATACCCTCTAGCTCCATCCATGTTGTTGCAAATGGTAGGATTTGTTTTCTTCCCATGACTGAAAAATATTCAATTGTGTATATGTATGGTGTCATCTTTATCAATTCATCTACTGATGGACCCTTAGGTAGCTTCAATATCTTGGCTGTTGTAAATAGTGCTGTGATAAACATAGGGGTGCGTATGTCTTTTTGAATCAGGGATCTTGTTTTCTTTGGGTAAATTCCTAGGAGTGGAATTCCTGGGTCAAATGCTGCTTCTGTTTTTAGCTTTTTGAGGGACCTCCTTATTGGTTTCCACATTGGTTGAATTAATTTACCTTCCCACCAGCAGTGTAGGAGGGTTCCCCTTTCTCTGCATCCTCGCTAGCATTTGTTGTTGCTAGTCTTTTGAATGTTAGCCATCCCAACTGGTGTGAGGTGTTATCTCATTGTGGTTTTAATTTGCATTTCCCTTATGATTAGCAATGTGGAGCATCTTTTCATGTGCTTGTTGGCCATCTGAATTTCTTCTTTACAGAAGTGTCTGTTCATATCCTCCGCCCATTTTTTAGTGGGGTTATTTGCTTTTTGGGTATTGAAGTGTGTGAGTTCTGTATATATTTTGGATGTTAACCCCTTATTGGATATGACATTTACAAATATATTCTCCCATACTGTAGGATGCCTTTTGTTCTGCTGATGGTGTCTTTTGCTGTACAGAAGCTTTTTAGTTTGACTTAGTCCCATTTGGTCATTTTTGTTTTTGTTTCCCTTGCTCGAGGAGATGCTTTCAGAAAAAGTTGCTGGTGTTTATATTCAAGAGATTTTTGCTTTTTTTTTCTTTTTTCTTTTGGTACTACAATTACATGAGCAACATTATGGTTACTAGACACCCCCCATCATCAAGTCCCCACCACATGTCCATCAGCATAGTAAGATGCTATAGAATCACTACCTGTCTTCTCTGTGTTGTACAGCTGTCCCCATGTCCCCCCTTACAGTATGTGTGCTAATAATAATGCCTCTTTTCCCCCCTTGTCTCTCCCTTCTCATCCATCCTCCCCAGTCCCTTTCCCTTTGGTAACTGTTAGTCCATTCTTGGGTTCTGTGAGTCTGCTGCTGTTTTGTTCCTTCAGTTTTTTTCTTTGTTAGAATCCACAGATAAGTGAAATCATTTGATACTTGTCTTTTTCTGCTTGGCTTATTTCACTGAGCATAATACCCTCTGACTCCATCCATGTTGTTGCAAGTGGTAGCATTTGTTCTCTTCTTATGGCTGAATAATATTCCACTGTGTATATGTACCACATCTTCTTTATCCATTCATCTACTGATGGACATTTAGGTTGCTTCCATTTCTTGGCTATTGTAAATAGTGCTACAATAAACACAGGGTTGCATATGTGTTTTTCAAACTGGGCTCCTGCATTCTTAGGGTAAATTCCTAGGAGTGGAATTCCTGGGTCAAATGGTATTTCTATTTTTAATTTTTTGAGGAACCTCCATACTGCTTTCCACAATGGTTGAACTAATTTACA